AAACGGGGTCAGGAGAATTTCAAGTTCTGACCTGTCAGAGAGGGGAAACTACCTCGAACACCAAAGGAGTTCCAAGGATACCCTAGAAGAAACACAACTTAGTAGTAGAGCTAAAATAGTCCTAGTGTAAAGACTGCTCTTAATCAACTTAAACTTTAAAAACAAGCCTCAAAAGAATCAAGCTCATTACCAAAAAACTCAGCTGCCAGCAAAACAGTCAAAAGAAACAGATCCAGAAATGACACAGATAGGGAATTAGCAGACAATTACTTTAAAACAGCTATTACAGACAATAATTTATTATAATTACATTTATTTACAAAAACAATATAAACTACATAAAATTATAAATTATGTTCAAGAATTTGAAAGAAAATATGAATATAACACTGAGAGAAATGTAAAATATACATATATACACATACTAGCACAAACATTTTAAAATGCAAATGAAACTTCTAGAGAAGAAATATACTATAGAAACAAAAGTTCACTAGATGAGCTTAAAAAAAGATGAGACAATGTAGAAGAAAAGATCAGTGAATCTGAAGACAAAGCAATAAAAATTATCTATCCTGAAATACAGAAATAGAAAGGTGATAGAAAAGGGATCAAGAACTATTGCAAGTTAAAGGAGACAAGACAACTAATTCAACATGTGATCCATGATTGGATTATGAAATGGTTAAAGACAAGACAGCTATATAAGACTATCTGAGGGCAATTAGGAAATTAAACATATATTCTATGTTAACAGATAGAATATATTATATAAAACAGTATATATACATTGATAGAGAGAAATACTCTATATTATTTACATATATTACTTATAAATATTAAATTTTGTAAGTGTGGTAACTATTTCACAGATATGTAAGAGAATGCTACTGTGGAAAGGAGAAAGTCATAATACAAAAAAATGGGGCTATTTTACTAAAAATGGTAAATTCAACAGGATATGCTATGTTTTCATTTTTGTTATATAAATCACAAGTTTTTGTATTGAGAGCATTATCTTTTTAATACCCATATGGGTACTCTGACAACCAGAAATATTTTAATCAAGCCAACATCACGTAACTAACTTTAAATGTAATAATTTTCAACTGTCACGGTTCATTAATAACATAAATGTGAACTCATTTCACCATTTCTCAAAAAGATAAAAATATAATCCTGCTTCATTTAATCTAATAAAAGAGAAACATCAAATTGACTGTACCTTCGCTACACCCCAAGCCAAACCCACCAGCCAATCACAGCGACTATATGAAAATTAACCCAACCAAGATGGCGGCCAGCAGCCATAGAGCTGGAGCAAGCAGGAGGCTTGGTTGCCCCGGCGATGTAGGAAGCCAAGCTTCCCACCTGCCCTGGCTGGCTGTGGCCTCTGCTAAAGGCTACAAAGTTTCAATTATAGCAGATAAATAAATCCTAGATACCTGCTTCCAGCCAGCCGCTAGTGGGATCTTGGGTGGCTGGGGGCCTTGGCCAGCCTGCAAAGAGCCATCAGCCCCTCACCTAAGCTGGCCACACCCTCAAGAAGTGAGGGTCCCTGCTGGAGGGCTTGACAAGCATGCAAACAGCCCTCAGCCTCTCATACAGGCTGGCAAGGCACCCCAAAAAGGACCCCAACCCTGAAGGGGCTGTGGCCAGACTGTAAACAGTCATCAGCCAGTCACCCAGGTTGGACAGGCACCCCAGCAGGACCACCACCTTGATCCAGGACACCATAAGGGCAAACCAGCCAGCCCCAACCCATGCACCAGGCATATAATAAAAGGGTAATATGCAAATTGACCATAACAGCAGAACAACTAGGAATGACTGGTCACTATGACACACACTGACCACCAGGGGACAGACGCTCAATGCAGGAACTGCCCCCTGGTGGTCAGTGCGCTCCTACAGGGGGAACTCTGCTCAGCCACAAGCCAGGCTGCCAGCAGAGCAGTGATGGTGGGAGCCTCTCCCGCCTCCTCAGCAGCGCTAAGGATGTCTGACTGCACCTTAGGCCTGGTCTCCACTTTCAAGTGGACATCCCCGAGGGCTCCTGGGCTGCCAAAGGAATGTCTGACTGCCAGTGTAGGCCCGATCCCCTGAGGAGCGGGCCTATGCCAGCAGGTGGTCATCCCCTGAGGGGTCCCAGACTGCGAGAGGGCACAGGCTGGGCTGAGGGAGCCCCGCCCCCACCGGAGTGCACAAATTTTTGTGCACCGGGCCTCTAGTGTAAAGATAAAGATAAATCAATACTAGAAAACTAATTTTGTAATAATTTATGAATTATTACCTTAAAACATAAAAGATCATTTTATCACGCTTTTTTGGTAAAAACATTAATTTAAGAAAACTAAGCATATTATCACCTTGAAAAACAGAGATCTCGTAACATTTGGAGCATTTTGAAAACCACATTTTGTTTAAGAAAAGGAACTACCTTATTTTTTTTTAATTAAATCTTTTTCAGATTATTACAGTTGTTCCTCTTTTTTCCCCCCATAACTCCCCTCCACCCGGTTCCCACTCCACCCTCTGCCCTAACCCCCTCCCCCCCACTGTCCTCATCCATAGGAGTATGATTTTTGTCCAGTCTCTTCCCACACCCCCCACATCTTTTCTCCCCTGAGAATAGTCAGTCCACTCCCTTTCTATGCCCTTGATTCTATTATATTCACCAGTTTATTCTGTTCATCAGATTATTTAATCACTTGATTTTTAGATTCACTTAATAGAAGTGTATTTGTTGTTCATAATTTGTATTTTTACCTTTTTCTTCTTCTTCCTCTTCTTAAAGGATACCTTTCAGCATTTCATATAATGCTGGTTTGGTGGTGATGAATTCCTTTAGCTATTTCTTATCTGTGAAGATCTTTATCTGACCTTCAATTCTGAATGACAGCTTTGCTGGTTAAAGTAATCTTGGTTGTAGGTTCTTGGTATTCATCACTTTGAATATTTCATGTCACTCCCTTCTGGACTGCATAGTTTCTGTTGAGAAATCAGGTGATAGTCGTATGGGTACTCGCTTTTAGGTAACTGACTGTTTTTCTCTTGCTGCTTATAAGATTCTCTCTTTGTCTTTTGCTCTTGGCATTTTAATTATGATGTGTCTTGGTGTGGTCCTCTTTGGATTCCTTTTGTTTGGGGTTCTCTGAGCTTCCTGGACTTGTAAGTCTATTTCCAAACGTTCT